GAAGTTGTATTGTTACCAGACCTGTTGTTTGATTTCATTTTGTTTCATGGGAAGAATAAAACAAAATATTGAATGATATTTATCCAATTTCAGTGAGTGCGATTGTACCCAAATTTCCTCAAAATGAATGTTGTTTAAAAATCCTTTTAGTTGTTTAATATTTTTAACCCTATCTTAACAAAACGTTATTTCTAGTATGCATATACACTATTACCTCTTTGAGCTCCACTGTCCAATATATTGCATAACCAAAATTCCACTTACTTATTGAGTTATATCTAACTCATCCAAAACCACTTTAAGTTATAGATGACAGGAGCTACAACCTAGAAGTCAAGTTTAAAAATGCTAAATTTTGGTTTTTAGTTAGCTACTGCAGTTATTGCGGTAGAAAGCTAGGTCTGATTAATGGTCAAGCGGTCCAACATGTTGTCTTTTCATCCAGAAGATAGCACCGTATATTGGGGGTAGTAATCCCGTTGTTCCGTATTCAAGCGCTACCTAGATATTTCCAGACGTTTCATATCATACAATAACCTTTGTCCTGTCACGTGATGTCTGGAAACCCCAATCTCGCCCCAGTTCTCTTGCATTCATGCAACTACTAACATGTCCCCGGCACAATTAACTCCCAATTGCTGCTCTCATCTCTTAACCCCAAAGTATATTTAATTATTATTAGTGACACATATTAAAAGTGAACTATTGAACATTTGTGAAGTGAAACACTACTACTGCCGGTCCGGGTCTGTGTACGAGCAATACGCAATAGCTGGCCAGCAGAAGAAACTCGTGTACGTCTACCGGCTTCGTCTTCTCAACACTTCAGTTAAAAGGAAGGTACCTCATCAATCTCATTACAGTATTATCTGTTAAATAATTAGTGACAAGTTTTTAATATTGCTCCTTCAACATACAGTCCATTTGAACATTTTTAGGCAAGTTTACCCCCCATCCGCTGGTCCTTCGAGCCGGATGAAAATCTTATCATTAATAATATATTGTGCTTTTATTAGCCTAGCTACTGTAACTGTTAAAATTGCACAACTAAACTCTAAAAAGTGTCACTTCTCTAAATAATTAGAGCAGCATTTGTATTCCCCATTACTAGTTTTGGTGAATAAATAATATTTTATTCCATTCCCCTGTGCCATCTCAGACGTGAATATTTCATGTTAGTTTCATGCTCATGTCCTCCCACTGCTACATGAATCACGTCATATTTCCTTTCAAATGGTTATTTGAAATCAGGAATTAGTTAGGATATTTAATATTTTCTCTAAGTTTCTCAATCAATTCACCATATCAATTATTGTCATTAACAATAATTTTTGTCTGCACTTTGTTTCGTCCTTAATTTTCTAACATATTTTCACTTATCAGAAAGTCAGCCATTTTATATTTTCTGTCCTTGCGATGCACCTTGGTAGCGAACTTCTCCACTAGAGCGCTCTGCCTACAGTCTGCACGTCGCAAGAACCAATGAGCGTCGAGATTCGTAAAACAGAATAAATCGCCCAATGATATTGCTTCTTCAAATTGATCATATGTAAAACTCAGTTTCAAGCACAGGAAATCAGCTGACTGAATATAAAACACACTCCAGCTACATACAGCTGTGTGAATTGAATCAAAATATAAACGTAACCTTCAAGTTTATTTACATCTTGGAAAATATTGTTTTGTGTGAATATTAAACGAAATATTAGTGATTGAATCGATTCTTGTCTACATTAAGGATATTGCTCATAATAAATACTTCCCTACTCAATTTATTCTGCGAAAATACTGATTCAAATTAAATGACTTGTGTTAAATAGACTTTACTTTTATTTACTATGTCTATCCTGGGTCTGATGGCAAAGTGAAATATAATTTTACATTCATTATTTCTTATAGAGTGAATGTAAATGAATTGATTTATTCTGAGCTATTAATTTGCATTATTGTTAGGTCTAAGACTTGAAGTTATTTTGATATTTAGGTGTTGGTGAATATTTACGTAGGCCTAAACTTATGATAAACTTAGGCCTATAGCTTACTCTGTTGATTACATAAATGGTCTGTTAAAATGAGATTCTCTACACTAGAGAAAAAGGCAAAACTTGTCAAAAATAGGCTTCAGAAAATAAGCAAGTTTGTGTCAGCCCAAATTACTCTCTCAGAAACTCAATCATTAAATGTTGTTTCCATTCAGCGCTTACACAACTATGATGATGAAGTTAGAGGTTTATTCTCTGATTTTAAAGCTTTATTCGATAAAGTGGTTTATGATGATCCTGGTTCTGATTATGACGAAACTGAAGCATGCTCTATGCAAGATGAAATTTCGGACTTGTACATTTCTCTGATCAGTGACTTGAAAATAGTGTTACCTGCTAAAACAAAAGAAGTAACACCTCCCACCCAACCATCTCTGCGACTGCCCAAATTTGAGTTGCCCAAATTCAGCGGTAACTACGAAGAATGGGTTAGCTACTACAATATTTTTGAGGCTTCTATTAATAGGAATGAAACTTTGGCCCCTGTGAGTAAGTTCCAATATCTGCTTAGTTCTTTAAGTGGTGAACCCTTAGATTTAGTAAAGAGCTTAAGCATAACTGCGGAAAACTTTGATGTTGCACTTAGGCTGCTTAAGGATCGCTATGATAACAAAAGGCGTGTTGTAACTCAGCTTGTTACAAAAATCATTGATTTGCCATGCATAAGTAGTGGTTCTCTCAAAAGTCTCCAACATTTTCTCACAGTTTATAAAGAGAACACTCAAGTTTTGAAAAATCTCAACCATGACATAACAGCTGAAAATACTCTGCTTGTCCTAACGCTTTTGAAAAAGTTACCTACTGACTTAAGAAAATCTTTTGAGGATTCTCGCATCACAAACAATGACATACCTGCAGTAAATGATCTAATTCAATTCCTTGAAAGAGAATTTAAACGATTAGAAGGAGCTAGTATCGGTCTTGGTCCCTCAGCTAACGCAAGATACCCTTCAGTGCAAAAGACTCAATCTAATAGTTATAGGCCTAAACCTCTTCGAGATAGTAAACCTTACTCCTCTCAAGCTAAAACAGCTTTCGTCACAGTGACTAACACTTGTAAGTTTTGTCAAGCATCCGATCACAATATATACAAGTGTCAAGCCTTTCAGGCTAAAAGTAGAGGTGATAGAGTTGAATTCACTTGTAAAAATAATCTATGCGCCAACTGCCTAGGCCATCTACATGATACTAATAACTGTCCTTCTCATAGAGTGTGTCGAATTTGTTCAAAGCGACATCACACTCTCTTACATGACTCAACTCCCACACAACAGCAGCCAAGTTACCCAACCAAGGTTTTTGAAAAAAAATATGGTAAGCCGCCTACAAATAACGCACCCCAAAGCCATGTCACCGCACCAGTGAATAAAAGTGCTCTTGTAGGATTGTCCAGCCAGTTAAACCCAACTAAAACAACAATTTTACTTGGAACATGTTTAGTTCAGGTGTTTTCCAAAGATGGTCAGCAAACTGTACTCCGTGCTGTGCTCGACTCTGCATCTCAACTTACATTGATATCTGAAAGAGCTGTTCAGCTCATCAGTGCCTCCCGTACTCGAGCACATGATGAAATCCAAGGAATTTCTGGCTCACTAATTCATTCTAGAGGAATAGTGCACATTGATATATCTGCAGTTAATGGTCAACGCTTAGCCTACCATCATCCATGCTTGGTTTTGAATCGTATCACTTCACCACTGCCTCAGATCCCAGTCTCACCTCAAGTGAAGGGATCTTTAAATGATTTTGTTCTTGCAGACCCCTGTTTTGACAAACCTGGAGAAATTGATCTATTGATCGGACCTGATTTATTCGCTCTCTCACTGACTGGTGAGCAGCACTTCTTAGGCCATAACCTGCCCCAAGTTTTAGGAACTATATTCGGATTTGTTGTAATTGGCATAGCTCCTGTTGCTACATCTGAGTTATCAATCCCAAAAACTGTTTCTTTTCTCACTACACATGATGGAGACCTTCACAGTTCACTTCAAAGGTTTTGGTCAATCGAAGAACCCCCGACATGTGTCAAGACTCAGTCAGAAGAAGATGTTCTCTGCTTACAGCATTTTGAAAGAACCCATACACGTGATAACTCTGGTCGATATGTTGTTAAGTTACCGAAAAGACCAAATCATCCACTATTAGGTGAATCTTGTAGTACAGCTCAACTTAGACTTAAAGCGATGGAAAGAAAATTTGCTGCTCAGCCCGAATTCAAAGATTTATACTCCGAATTTATGGATGACTACATCAAATCAGGTCACATGAGTGCATGTGAGCAACCCCTTTCTGGTGAATGTTACTATTTACCCCATCATGGAGTATTTAAGGAGAATCCCCCTAATTCCAAAATACGAGTCGTATTTGATGGTAGTTCCAAAACAAATAATGGCGTCTCCCTAAACGATATCCTCATGCCTGGCCCTAAGTTGCAGAATGATATTAGTGATGTCTTGCTGTACTTTAGGTGTCACAAGTTTGTGTTCACTTGTGATATACGACAGATGTATCGCCAGATTCTGGTGGCTGAAGATGACAAGAAATATCAGTTAATCTTTTGGCGATCCAACCCTGATGAATCCCTTCAAGTCTTAAAGCTAAATACCGTCACCTACGGTCTCAACTGTTCCCCGTTCATTGCGATCAGAACATTACAACAATTGGTCAAAGATGAGGGTCACTCATACCCCAAGGCGTCTGAGATTCTAACTAAATCAATATTTTATGACGACATCATCGCTGGAGCAGAAAGTCTTGATGAAGCTTTGTCTGCACAGAATGAACTCAAGAACTTGCTCTCTAGAGGAGGTTTTGAACTCCGAAAATGGATTAGCAACGCACCCCAACTATTGGACCAAGTCCCAATTGAACACAAAGAGACTCCAGTGGAGTTAACTGAAAATAGTGAAGCCTTCTTCAGTGTCCTAGGTCTAAAATGGACTCCAGAGTCTGACATGCTTTCTTACAAGGTTAAGGATGTTGAAATAAGTGCTATACTTACAAAGAGAAGAATATTATCTACAATCGCTAAAATGTACGATTTACCAGGATTTCTTACACCCGTAATTTTCTGGGCAAAAACACTTATTCAGTATCTCTGGACAACAGGGCTAACTTGGGATGAACCTGTTCCAAATGATGTTAGAACCAAGTGGCATTCATTCTTAGAAGAACTCCCAATAATTCAAGAATTAAGAATTCCACGCTACATTTCTACTTCTCTGCATACGGCTGTGCAACTCCATGGCTTCAGCGATGCTTCAGAGAAAGGCTACGCTGCTGTTGTCTACCTTCGTGTCACTGACTCTCAAGAGAATACAAGGCTCTATCTCATCGTCTCTAAATCAAAAGTCGCTCCTTTGAAAAGAATTTCTCTGCCACGGCTTGAACTTTGTGGCGCTCACTTACTGGGAAAACTTCTTCAATATTCTTCAAACATACTCTCTGCTCATATGAAGATTGAATCAATCTATGCTTGGTGTGACTCCACAATTGTCCTAACCTGGATACGTACTCTTCCATACCGCTTGAGAGTCTTCATTGCCAATCGTATTTCAGAACTCCAAGAATTGGTCTCTCCTCACTCATGGAATTATGTCAAATCTCAAGACAACCCGGCCGATTGCGCCACTCGTGGTCTTTCACCCTCTCAACTTGTGACTCATCATTTATGGTGGAATGGACCGGAATGGTTACAGTCATCGTCAGATTCTTGGCCTAAGCCAAAATTCACACCTGTTATTGATGATGACACTCTTGAAATAAGGCCAAATCCTCTAAACGTTCTAGCAACCACAGAGAAGATTAAACTCACTGATTTTGATATACTAGAAAAATATTCATGTTTCAGGAAACTTGTAAATGTCATGGCATATATATTGCGATTCATTCATAATCTGCAAGCCAATGATCCCCGCATTGGACAACTTACTTGCCAAGAAACTTCTTCAGCGAAATTAAGAATTTTCAAACTCATACAAAATACATCATTTAAGGATGACATCTCTGCTCTCAAAAGGGGATCTCAATGCAGCTTAAAACTTGCTCGTTTATCCCCATATATTGATGACAGTGGAATAGTGCGAGTAGGCGGCAGGTTGAAACATTCCAACCTTACACAAGATGCGAAACATCCAGTTTTGTTACCTAAATCTCACTGTACTGTCAAACTGTTGATTATGCATTATCACCTAAAGCATCTACACGCAGGCCCTCAATTGCTGCAGTCTATTCTGTCTCAAGAGGTTTGGATATTATCAGCCCGCAGCGTGATAAGATCTGTGATTTTCAAGTGTCAAAGATGTTTCAGACTTAAGCCTGTAAACAAACCTCCACTGATGGGAGATCTTCCTGAAACTCGATTAAAACCTGTAAGGCCATTCTATCACACTGGCATGGACTATAGTGGACATTTTGACATTAAAGTTCATTCAACTAGGAACGCTCAACAGTTAAAATCATACCTCTGCCTCTTTGTATGTTTTGCTACAAAAGCTGTGCACCTAGAAATTGTAACAGACCTATCTGTAGACTCCTTCATAGCTGCACTAAAACGTTTTGTTTCTCGTCGTGGATTGTGTGCCCACTAATACTCAGATTGCGGAACTAACTATGTTGGAGCCTCAAAGCAACTCATGAAAACTTTTCAGGATTTCATCAAGGAATCAAACACTAAAGATGCTCTTAACAACTTCGCGTTAGATCACTCAATAAATTTCCACTTTCAACCACCAGCCGCTCCCCACCAAGGAGGCCTATGGGAGAGTGCTATAAAAAGCTCTAAATATCATCTGAAAAGAGTCATAGGCGATAGAGTTCTAACACTAATGGAATTAATAACACTCGCCACACAGGTGGAGGCTGTACTAAACTCGAGACCCTTAACAGCGTTATCCGCTGATCCATCTGACATCTCAGCCCTTACTCCGGGTCATTTTCTTATCGGCACTTCTCTTGTGGCAGTACCGGAACCAAATCTTGAAGAAGTTCCCGAAAATCGTCTCAACCATTGGCAAACTGTACAAGCCCTACATCAACGCTTCTGGCGACGTTGGCATCAAGAATATTTACATCAGCTACAACAAAGAAAGAAATGGCAAAAGCCCAACAAGAATCTAGAAGTGGGTGATCTCGTTATAATTCAGGACCCTAGAACACCACCGCTACTTTGGCCTCTTGGACGCATAGTGAAGACTTCGCCTGGATCAGACGGCATCGTCCGAGTTGTCACCATCAAGACTCAGCGGGGAACCTTCTGTCGTCCTGCTACCAAGGTGTACCCGCTCCCCTGATCTCATTATCAGACCAAACAAAATGTTTATTCTATTTTCAAACATATTTCTATTTCAATGTTATGTATATATATTAATTCTATGTTTCTTATATTTCAATGTCAATCTTTATTCATTATGTGTCACTTTGTAACTTTCTCAATGTTTTGAACCATGTATGGTTCAAGGCGGGCGGCATGTTCCGTATTCAAGCGCTACCTAGATATTTCCAGACGTTTCATATCATACAATAACCTTTGTCCTGTCACGTGATGTCTGGAAACCCCAATCTCGCCCCAGTTCTCTTGCATTCATGCAACTACTAACATGTCCCCGGCACAATTAACTCCCAATTGCTGCTCTCATCTCTTAACCCCAAAGTATATTTAATTATTATTAGTGACACATATTAAAAGTGAACTATTGAACATTTGTGAAGTGAAACACTACTACTGCCGGTCCGGGTCTGTGTACGAGCAATACGCAATAGCTGGCCAGCAGAAGAAACTCGTGTACGTCTACCGGCTTCGTCTTCTCAACACTTCAGTTAAAAGGAAGGTACCTCATCAATCTCATTACAGTATTATCTGTTAAATAATTAGTGACAAGTTTTTAATATTGCTCCTTCAACATACAGTCCATTTGAACATTTTTAGGCAAGTTTACCCCCCACCCGTCTTGGTCAGATCTGGTGTGCAAATCTATGGTAAAAAGTTAACAGGATGGGTAAATTTTTTGTGATTTGCACAGTTGCAACTAAAATTAGGCATGTTTCTTATCTTATGTTTTGTGGTGTCCACCAGAAACCTTTTAACTTTTTTTTAAATTTTATGTTCATAAGATAAGGAATAAAATAATATAGGTTCACCAAATAATCCTTAGAGTTTAAGTTTCAAGTTTCAACTGTTTGGCAAATAAACACTATTTGTTATTTAAGTATCGGTTTGTTTGTGTGCACAGCTGTTGCCACTGCCCACAAGTGTGCCAGTGAGTCCAGACGAGGCTGAGGATCAGGATATGAGGAAAGCGACCCCACTGCGGGGAACTGTGGAGTGGGCCCCGCCTCGGCCACAGATCATCTTTACCGCCCACCCCCCTCCAGAGTGAGTAAACATCACAGGTTAATCGTTTTATGTTAAAGCTAGGAGTTGTGTTTTCCTACATTATTTTGGGGTTATTCAATGACACTTTGAACTTAGCTTCCTATGATTGATTTTATTAAAGTTTTGTTTTTGTGATTGCTAAAGTAATGTTACTAACCTGCATTGAACAAGTACAAAACTCAATCGAGTTTAACCAAAGGTTTAGTTATCCAAACTGGTATCGCACTTGAGGAACATTTACAAAAACATCTCTTCTAAGTTTTCTGTTGTTCAGATAGGTAACGCTTTATCAATGTCTTCCAAATAAAAGCTTCTGATATTACTGAAGATTGCTCAGACTAAGGTTATGTGAAGTATGTCTGCTAGAGGTGTTAATTCTTGATCAAATCAGTCAGGTCCTCTCGCATTCACACACAGAAACCACGTTGAAATTATGATTCACACAAAGCACATTATCTGTCCACAGACGACGCATTCTTATGGCCAAGCAGAACTACAGATGTGCAGGCTGTGGTCTGACAGTTGCGCAGCAGTACGCAGGCAGGTTTAGATACTGTGAGTATCTCGGCCGATACTTCTGCACCGGCTGTCACACCAATCAGCTGGCTGTCATACCTGGAAGAGTGATACAGAAATGGGACTTTACCAGGTATGCTGAACTAAACATTCTTCCCTCTAAGACTAAAAAAATCAAAGTATACTCCTACAAAAAAAATATTTAGAAGATATCTTGTTTTGGCTAGTTGTATTGCATCCGTTACGAAACCTGCGTAAGTTTCTCTCAAATTTCAGTATGGCTCGGTAGGGTTTTCAATTTTTCACTGTATTTTATGTTGATATAAGATGTTTATCATATTATGTTCTTGACCTTGTTCAGTTCGATGCTGGATATGAAAATAGATCATATAACCTGAAACTATCCTTTGACTACTTGTTATTGGACTGATGACGTACAAAGCATGTTAAACTTGATATATTTCTCAAATGAACTGACACTTATCTTTCTCAAACTAAATCCTTGGATTGGATTGGATTGTTTGCAAAAGTGTGGGATGCATTTTATTTATTGATGAATAAAATAGTAACTTAGTGAAATTTTTCTTTTGTAGGAATTACCATAGTAAAAGAGGGGAGTAGTAATATTTTCTTTATTCTTTTTCTAGTGCAGTCCAAACCTTATTTTTAATTTTTTAAATAATATAGTTTAACTTTGAAATTGATTAAGCATTATATTATAAGAAATGTTCCTGCCATGGGATAAAAAAAGATTTCTTAATAAGTACTGCACAATTTATTCGTCCCTACAATAGAACAAATTAGCCTTGCTTAATCTATCAAAACCTTTTGCGTGATGTTCATATTTACCCGCAGATGTGCTGTCTCGAATTTCTCGTACAGACTGCTGGACCAGATGGCCAGTGATCCGTTGTTTAACATCCTGGATCTCAACTCCGGATTGTACTCTCGGGTGAGAGCCCTGGATAGAACCAGGGTGTACAGGATACAGCTGCACTACCTCAAGGACTTCCTCAACACATGCCGTTTTGCACTACAGTAAGTCTGTGTCCCTTGCACAGATTCAAATTTATGCCTAAATTATAAGCAAATATGTTAAATGATCAAACACTCTTTAGAAGAATCTTAATTTTTACCCATTAAGCACCATAGACAAGTTTGATTCATTAGATGAAATAACAAAAAATTTATCATCAACATCCACTTAGCAGCTCCAGCCTCCTGGAAGTGTGAAGCGTGTTAACTAATGAATGAGTTGTATGTTAAATTAACCCTTTGAGTGACTCGAGCTGGTGAAACAATTTTATTTGAGGTTTGCCAGGCCTACATGTGGTGTTGCTTCTAGGAATGCTGGCCATTTCTTCACATAACTGTAGGCGTTTGGGAAATTTGTCATAAAATACTTATTTATTAAAATTTTTGGCCTAAATTTGTTTTGTTTAGTAGAGTATTTGATCGTGCATTGTAAAATACTAATTTTAGTTGGGGTTTCATGAGTTAAAATAAAATATTTTCATGGCAAGGATAGAAATATGGTGCAGTTTATTCTCATTTTCAAAGTTTGAGTTAAAATATCAAAATATAAAATTAAATTATTCATTGACATTCAATTTTACATTTGTTTTAAAGAGCATTAAAAACTAAAAGAAATCATCGTATAAAAAATGTATTTATTATATATATGTCCAAAAAATTATGTAACATTTACTACGAAGAGGTCTCGAAAAATTCTAGGCCCTACCCAGTAAGCAACCTAAATCATGCTCTAAGACTTGTGTTGTTACAGACAAAACTACCTATACCATTTTACATTTGACTGTATTTTATGTTGTTATGATTATTATAATTCAAATTACTATTAGAAGCCATGCACAAAATATACAAACGGTCAAAATAAAATCATGCACCTCTATGCTACCATATCCAGTTACCAGCATACTTGGGAATAACTAATAGAAATTCTATCGAATAGCACTATTAGTTATTTTTTTTGGCTAACTTCTATTTTATTAGTTCGTTTTTAAATTAACTAACTAATAACTTCTATCAGTTACTTTTTACGGGACTAACTAATAACTTCTAACCAGTTAGAATTTTCAACTAACTTTCCCAATTATGCGGAAGCATCTCAAATACGGGTTATTTATTTCACGTGATCAGTGAGGGTTGCGTGCGGCCGTGAGAGGTCAGTGCCCTTGTAGACAAACAACGCGGGGGGGTGGGGAAAGAGAAAGTCAAAGTCCAGTTGCTTTGGAATGTAGTGGGCCTGTGGAAGGGTAGTGACGGCCATTATCAACACCCCATGCACTGATGGGTGCGAAGGGGAAATGTTTGTTTGGTGATTGATATATCATCTCAAGTGTCAAAACATTGTCTTTAGTTGATGTTCATTATCTGACAAGTTTTATGTCATTTGTTTATGTTGTAGTAATGTAAAATGTGACAATGTTTGATTAAAACACAAGTACCAGGGGACCGATTTTGCTCGAGGTGTTTGATTTGTTCAAGAGGTAAAAAATAGAGCTTATAAGCCTACAAATATTTTCAGTCTTACTACGATTAATTAAGTAGTATAGTCAATTCGTTTTTGTTAGACATCCACTTATCCTCAATTTAGTCTACAAAACTTTTTAATCTGGACGATCAATCTATAAAATGTCCACAATAAGCTTCAATCAATATAAAACTTTTGATACATAACATCTGTTATCTGACGACCGTTATTGCATTAAGTCACTGGGATTGTGGAACGTTGCAACTATAATTACGGGATGGTGTAACAACGCATCAATTCCTGCGGTGCATCGTTGAAAAATACAAATCTCCTTGGCCTTTCCTTTAGATTTTTAGTTCAATGTCAGTGTATATTGTTTTGCAGTAAAACACTTAATGTTTTTGAACAGTCGTAATTATCCCTTTGGTTAGTAAGACATCATACAATGCAAATGTATTATACAAGCAATTTTCAATAGCATTGAAATTGGAGGAAATCGTAGGAGCCATTTTTTAAATCATATCGTGCGCAATCTTTACTCATATTATAGTATATATTAGTAACCAAGATGTGACATTAAAAAATACTTTAAAAAGACTGCCCAACGAGCAGCTAATTTCTACTAAAACTAACTTTATTTTCTAATTCTATATCAGTTAGTTTTTCAACTAACTAATAACTTCTATCAGTTACTTTTTAAACTAACTAACTTATAACTTCTATCAGTTACTTTTTACGGGACTAACTTATAACTTCTAACTAGTTAGAATTTTTGACTAACTTTCCCAACTATGGTTACCAGTACATTTTATGAGATTAGCCACAAACTATCACCAAAACACAGGAATAAGTTGTGGTATTATAACTTTTTAAAGGTTTAAAATGTATTTTTCAATGATTCATGACCATAACCTGCAATTCTATAACCAAAACAACTTGTAAACAAACATTTACTAAAACGTAAACAGTCGAAACAACAACACAACACACGAACCAGTTGTGTAAAGCTGTCTACTATTGCGTAATGGTTTTTGATCGGTTGACCCCATTTCTCAGCTCCATTGTACAGTAAAAGAGCAAAATAGTAGTTGCCAACCTCCTTCTGTCGCATTTGGTGTGATTTGCAGCCAGCTTTAGTGAAATGTCATAATGTGTGAAGTGATTTTCTGAGCATCTCGCTATGTATTGTTATTGTTTCTGATTTGTACACAAACATTCATCATGTGTCCATAGCTTCATTTATGTAAATATAGGAGTAAAATAAATATTGTCAGTCTTTCATAGAAATGTTCTAAGACTACACTAAGAGAGAATGAATTGACAAGCAACTAAATCACTTCAGAAAAGAATTTCAGGCAGTTGATGGCACCCAAAAAGTTTCCACCACAATTCACTATTCATTTTGGGTACCATCAACTGCATGCATTTCTTTTTATTTGGTAAGTTTAGATGTGTATTTTTTCCTTCTTCCTGTAAAACAACATAGTTTATACCCTTAGGCATTGATTCCCTGCAAAATGGTTACACGATAAAGCTTCCGTTTTGTCTTACTTGTGTTGGTGATCGTGCTATTTTACCTAGTTTTGCAAATTCCATTACCATCAAAAGGTATATTTCAAACTCCAGGTGACAGATTGGCAATACTAACATGGATGGTTGTATTACAGAGAAGACGGTTGTCTACAGGATTTTTTGAGGTCCACTCCCCCATACTTTCTGATGGATCCCCATGTCTACTCCATCCAAGACCTGAAGCAGGTTAAGATCGGAGAGATGACTGAACAACTGAAACTCCATGTAACGGCTGCTTTGGCTCATGTGGAGGATTGTGTGGTAATTCATACTATTTCAGTAGACTAACAACTTTTTAAAGCTCAATGAGATATACTTTGCAAGTTTGTTCATGGATTCACATTTGCACAAATGAACTGTTAATAACAAAATACAAAATAAAATCATTGCATTTTGGATACTAAAGTAGACATCCTCTCCCTATGTTGGAGCCAATGATGTTTCAATGTAAAATCACATTTCATTTCTTAATTTGTTCTACCTTAATAGTTGATGTGATATAAAACATGCAGTAGTCTACATTAGGTAGTTCTTTAAGCTTGGCCTGGTTAAAAAGTGACCGTATTTGAAAGAAATCAGTAATATACATTTGTGCACTCTGTGGATAACTCGATTCAATTAGCATACAGTAGAGGGTTGATTATCCAAAGCAATCGGGGATCTGGGGTGTTCGAATAAAGGTTTTTTTTAGATAGTTGGCGAATGACAGTGAAAATTAAGTACATAATTTTTGTTTCAACTTTGATTGCTAAAATAGAGATTGAAATGTATTTTTACATGCAAAACAGATTGTTGATTGTCTCCTGCAATTGTAGCAAACCTCAAGAGTATATATTGTGGTGTTTGCTTCACCACTGTTGGTTTATTGGAATTGCAGCAACGAGAGAATATCATGCGGTTGCTTCATCACCGCTGATCGTTTCATGCGATCATGGCAACACCACACCAAGTAACGGCCTTTTGGTTTTGATGTTTCGGATGATCGGGCTTTGAGTAATCGATGCTCACTGTATGTCCATTTTCATTCTAAGACTGACTACAACTTAACATGTGAATGGAATGTCTCCTTCTATCCATACTCAAATAGTTTGTAAACAAAAACCTCAAAATTGAAAGTGTAACATCTAATCTCAATCACAATTTCCTTGTAATTGCAGTTGTGCCAAGGACGAGGGTTCGTCTGTGAGGTGTGCAACAAACCCGAGGTGATATTCCCCTGGCAGCTGATGAAGGTGGACAGGTGTAACAGCTGTGGCAACTGTTTCCACTCTGACTGCTACAAAGTCGGCACCACTGCTTGTGGTAGATGCTTCAGACTGACCAAGAGGAAGAACTCCATCCTCACATCACCTGTTGAAGTGTCATAGCGAAGACTGAAGTTCCATCCAAGGAAGACTGAGAATTTGTCGTAACACTGTCTGTGATTTACCTGGTAGCTTATGAAAAGTGATAAATGAAAAAATATCAAGATTTTGCTCAATGTGAGTTATCAATCAAATACTATAAAAGGACTGGCCTGATGTATTAAGGAGTTAATAATTTGGTTAGGCTGGATAGAGTATGTTAATTGAATTTTGGGTTACTTTTCTTTTTCCTTCTGTGGTTTAGAACAAATTATATATAGTTTAAGTAAACCAACCTGTTATCATAGTCTATCAAAATGTTATTCTAGCAGTACCAAAGATACAGAAGAAGTAAGTTAAATTGATCTTAACTTTTGATATGTTAGGTTATTTTATTTTTATTTTATTGCTTGGTTTATTATTGTATGCTAATGATTTGCTCTTAATCTGTTACTTTACAAACGAAGATGGATTATTGTTAAACTAATTGGAGGGTGAGGATTACAATACTGTGATATGATCTGTTAAGTATAATTGCATATTTGGTATGAGCAGCTCTTGTTAACTCACTTAGGTTTACATTGTATCAGAAATTACAACTTTTTAATGGACTTACAGGTAATGAGTTAAAATATTTACGAATATTGTACCTATAAAGGTATATGATTGAGATAGTAATTATAAACTAGCTGCATTATAGGATAATTTAGCTACCTTCAATTAATGTGTGGTTAGATATATTTTGGATCAAAGTTTTCTGCCATAAAGTACTCAAATCAAAATAAGATGCCACGGTACTGGTCAGCAAAATCTGACTTGTCTCATGCCTTCACTCACTACAGTTAGTTATAATTCAATATATTTGGAGACACTTAGCTAAAGGCATTTAGCCTTCCAACAAAAAGACTGGTGTGTACAGTAGGTACTCTTTTATCCACCATTTTAAGGATTTTGGTTAAACTGAATAACTAATTTTAGTCATTTTAACAGAAAGTGAACATATTAGTTATTTACTATGTTACTATAAAAATACCAACATAAATGGGACCTTAATGAACAAAAGAGATGTTTTAGGGGTCAGCTAATATTTAATAACTTAATTGCAGTAAGCACATTTTTAAAACACTATTCCTTTTAAAATGAATTCCTTGTGACAGGAAGAGTTGATCAACCGATGTCAGTTCATTTGATGTTACATAAATCAAAAGAGTGCCTACTGTAGTTACGTTTACAGATTCCTCTAGAATGTATGTCTTTGGTTCGGCCAGTAGGTTAAGCACTGTGGGATGAAAAAACTGTTTGTGAATCTCTAGTACAGTAAACTAGTTTATCGAAATTGGTCTGTTCTGTTTTGCACCGTCCAAAAGTCACATCAAAGTTGGTGCTTTTTGACTGCCATAATGTGAACTTTTGTGTAGATCAGGTCTTTCCTAGCTCTAAGGTTGCAAGGTAGCCTACATTAGGCAACTATAATTGTATTGTTATTGTTAGCTGTCTTGTGAAACGCCTATGCTATTGTACAATTGTGTTTTATTTTTATACTATATTCTAACAACAAACTACGAGTGAATTCTCGTATCACATCGCTTAATATTTTTAGTTTACTGTAATACAATTTTGAACATAAACATTGACATCTAAGTTTTAAGAATGAACTTATTTTATAATTAATTATAATTAACTAAATTCACAAGTTTTCATTTTAATATTTTTGATATTATTACACAATCATCATGTTTAACTTTTATACACTTTCATGCAAATAATATTTCGTTAGTTTTATAACTTTAATATAGTTACGAATTTAAATATTTAATATAAAAGTGTTAATAAATATGTTTATTGTTTATACTATTATTGTTGATTAAATAAATCTAACAAAATAAATTTTATGTTCCCTTCTTTTTCCAAATCATACAATAATTCTAAAAGGAAGAAATCTTCTAATCAAAAAACCAGCGAACTTGTGACAGCCAATTTAAATCAGAAAAAAGAGGGGGGGGGGGGGAATGAAGTTAAAAGAACTGCCGATTAACATTTCCAATATACCTACTACTAGAGGACCCATGCTGCTCCACAGCATCATATAGGATGGAGAGGACACCACTAACTCACCTGATGAAAGGTTGCAGACGAGTCAAAGAACACATAAGTTCTTTGTTATGTGTGTGTTTTATGTGTTCTTTGACTCATCTGCAACCTTTCATCAGGTGAGTTAGCTGTGTCCTCTCCATTCTATATATTTATTCGATTTTTAATTCAGTAATACAGTATCTTGGAACTTAACTTAAACGTTTGCTTAAAACTCATCTAATATCTTAAATGAAAGCCGGTATTTCACTGAATTTTCTTAGACCAAATATATAGGATTATGTATATTGTAACTGATTAAATACATCTTAAATTGAAGTAAGAATTAAAAAAAAAAATTAAATTTATGTTTTTTGTAATACAGTAGATAAATATATGCCAATGCTTGATGTGAAATCTGGGAATGCATACTTCCAATTTGAGACCTCAATAATGAAAATGGGTAGAAAAGCCAAACAAACTCGGAAAGAAAAACCAAATTTAACTCCCATAAGAAATACATGGGGAGAAAATTTCAGTTACATATATGTCGAGTGGGACTGTAGATAAATATATGCCGACGCTTGATGAGAAATCTGTGCGTGCATACCTTCAATTTGTGACCTCATAACCTATGAAAATCGGTCGGGTAGAAGAGCCATTAAGATTGAGTGCTTAATATCGGGTGCTACATTATTGATGAATTCATGGTCACCCAAATCATTGACAAACAGACAAGCGGAAAGTAAATAAAAGAGACGTCTTATAACACTTAAAACATACAGGGTGAGTTTTAATTGTCCCCCCCCCCCAACTTTTTTCTACACTTTTTCAAATATCAATCCCAGACCACTTCCAAACATTGTTGGGTAGTAAGTACTTCATTTTGACAAGGTATTCATTTCCGGCCGCCATCTTGGATCCACCATATTGGATGCAAAATATTTTTTTCAAATGTAAAGGTGGGGTTGTGACCCATTTTTTCGAACTAGATTTTTTACCTCATTACAATGCCACAAACCGTTTTTAAAAATCTTGATTCATTCTAAAGTTATGAGGCCTTTTTAAAACTTTATTTTTAGCCCATTTTAACATTGTGCATTTACAAACTAAGACCATAATCTCAAAATGGTGGTAGATAAAGATAAGTATACACTACCAGTCATTGTCGACCTATTTTCACTTGGTTATGACAGATGTATTTTTTTCGTCCGCCATCTTGGATCCGCCATTTTGAAATGTGATAAGTTATTTTAAATATGAAGGGGGTGTTGTGACCCATCATTTCGAACTACTTTTTTAAGCTGAACTCAATTCCATGATCCGTTTTTCATTTTCATATTTTGATTTTGAAATATTGACATTTTTAACAAAATAAATGCAACAGTTCATAAATAAAACTTAATAACAAAAAATGGATTTCGGCATTGAGTTTAGCTTAAAAAAGTAGTTCGAAATGATGGGTCACAACACCCCCTTCATATTTAAAATAATTTATCACATTTCAAAATGGCAGATCCAAGATGGCGGATGAAAAAAATACATCTGTCATAACCAAGTGAAAATAGGTCGACAATGACTGGTAGTGTATACTTATCTTTATCTACCACCATTTTGAGATTATGGTCTTAGTTTGTAAATGCACAATGTTAAAATGGGCTAAAAATAAAGTTTTAAAAAGGCCTCATAACTTTAGAATGGATCAAGATTTTTAAAAACGGTTTGTGGCATTGTAATGAGGGTAAAAATCTTGTTCGAAATAATGGGTCACAACCCCACCTTTACATTTGAAAAAAATATTTTGCATCCAATATGGCGGATCCAAGATGGCGGCTGGAAATGACCACCTTGTCAAAATGAAGTACTTACTACCCAACAATGTTTGGAAGTGGTCTGGGATTGATATTTGAAAAAATGTAGAAAAAAGTTGGGGGGGGGACAATTAAAACTCACCCTGTATATTTACGCAAATACTGTTACTCACAAGACGGTAAATATAAAAAAAAGATGGTAAGTGGTGATCGATTTTGATCGGACACTCCAATCATCATCAGACCCAATAGGCGAATTGACCTATTAATTCGCCTATTGGGTCTGATGATGATTGGAGTGTGCAATCAAAATTGATCACCACTTAATATCTTTTTTGTATATTTACCGTCTTGTGAGTAACAGTATAAGCGTAAATATATGTTTTAAGTGTTATAAGACGCTTCTTTTATTTACTTTCCGTAAATTTAATAACACCTACAATGCTGATCAAGAAGTTAAACAGACAAGTGAACTTCTCCATTTGAGACTAGTTTTGTCTTCCCTTGTTTTTATTAGTAGAACATGAACAAGGTATTAAAAGACGTCTATGATCTGACAATAACTTATATTATAATTTAAAAGCCTAAAAATACAATGGTGTATACAGTATAATAGTAATCTACACAAGAATGGGTGATCAGTACAAAATACAGTGCGTGGCTAAGATATGGAGTCTAGGCAGGTACCAGTGGGGGAGGGGTAGAGGTAGGGGCGGTGTCTTGGTCCCCACCCCCTTCACCTCGAGCTTTTTTCCGCCTCTCAACATGCCCGTGACAGTTGTCGCACTCGTCGTCATCTTCACTGTCCGAACTCTCACCAAATGCCCTAGGTTTGTTGTAAATGCAGCAACCTGAAATAAAAGGAATATTATAAACGTTGGGGTCTACTACATCAGTATACAAGGTTATTTGTGTTTCAAGTGGCAAAAGTAGATGGTCAAAACCAGAAAATTTGGAATGCAAAACCAAAACATAAAAATTTAAATCCAGTATCTCAAAACTTGAATACAACACTTTTTTACTCTCCTGGTTATGTAAAAAAATACAGATAATAATAAATAGTTTATTAAAATTAATTAAACAAATAATAATTAAATAATATAATTAAATAAAATTATAAATAATAATTATAAAATAATATAATAAAATAATTAAAATGAATAAAACAATTAACAATACTTTTCACAGCATATTTTAAGGGATTTCCACTGGGCGACAGCCTCACCGGACTTGCCGGGGGGTCGGGGGTATTGTTATTCCACCCCTCAGCAAACAGGGAGGTACAGGGGTTCTCCCCGGATTTTTTTGCATAAATTAAAGTGAAAATCACACATTTCTACGTATCTTTTCATGAATTTTCCGATTATATTTGCTTGTAAATAGTCCATATAATCTCACTTAATTACGTATTCTAGAACGTTAAAACAGTCCAAGGCTCGCTTCACAACTTTTCGGGCCAAAATCAAGCATGTTAATCACTCGTTTACTTAACGGAAGCTGAGAGTAATCTAAAATATTTACACAATGTAATTTTGTTTACTTTATATTCTCATAAAATGTGAATCATAAAAAAAAACATGCTGGTACTAACCATATTGCCACTGGGCGACAAAATCTCGCCCAGTTAACATGTTATTTTATGCCCTGATACTTTTACTTTTTATACTCATACTCAAACTAAATTAATGGTCTATAGTCTGTGCTAGCACTTAAAAAGAAACACCGGTTAATTTCTTTGAAGTGGTAGTTATGTAAGTTATTTTGTTTATGTATCAGCTGCATTTATCACAGGTAAATTAGGAAATAAGTCTTGGTATTGCATTCTCACCTGAAACTCGCTTCTCGTGTCTATTTAAATGTACATCATTCATTGTCTTTATATTCTTATATTTTTATTCAAAAATGAGGTCATATTCGTGATAATTTTTCACGAGAATATTTGAAGGTATCTATCTGACCGAGGAATAGCAGGAAACCATTGTTGCTTACGTGTCGGATATCTTGGAATCTTAAAACACTACATACAGTATTTTGAGTTTTAATTGAGCTTTTGTAATTATTCTTTCACCCTGGCACAACACATTTATCTGGCATGGTGTAGTAACAAGTTCAATGTCATAACTAATGATTAAAGGTAGTAGAAGCACGAATAAGTAAGTCGGTATGCGACTCCTCGATTCACTATTATGGCAAGACGATCGGGCGCCAAGACTCAGATGCGACTTGCGAGTTTTCGCTCGCCGCGGCCTTGTGCACTAGGGAGGGATATGGTATTATCCACCCTCTAAAATTGAGGACTAGAAAATATAAATGTAGTCTTGCTTGTATTGTCCTGTTAAGCTGGCTGACAGTAAGTTAAAAGCAAATTTATTTCCGATTCACAGACTTATTCCATTCAAGATGTTATATTCTGATGGACCAAAAACCATTGTGCTTAGTTAAAGAAAATGTTTTTATTTCACGTCTTTTAAAATAACACAAGAGTCATTGTACCAACTTAAGGTTAGATGGGTCTATTTCATTAACTTACATTTGGATTTTTTCTTATTTAAGTGTTCATTATCAACTGTATCTTCACCCCATTTTACTTGTTTCTTGGATTTAGGCTTTTTAAGCCTCAACCGCAATGTTGGGAGATCCTGGAAAGAAGGATATAATTAGCATTGAGCTGCCACATAAATTTCTTAACCAATAAAAACATGCAAGTTAAAGATTTAAAATTAGCCACTTTTTCGAGTTACGACACTTCTAGCATAACCAAGCCTTAGGAGTCGTTTCCTTACATATCAGTTAAGATAAAATTTCCTTTAAACAGCTAATTGGTCAATCAACAGTCCAGGGTGTAGGCTAGGCATTTATGAAAAAGGCCCTCTTTAACTTTATTGTAAAAACATTTCTAAACTTCAATTATAGAACAAAGCGATTCCATTATATTGGAACTACCTAGTGACATATATCAACTTTTTTGTATTTATGACATATTTGATGGTCTTTAGGTTGAGACACCAAACATTACAAATTCTTTAGAATTTAAACCTAAATTATTCATCAAGGGTAGTAATCAAAGATTGTAGGCCACTACAATGCATTACATTTAACATTTAAGTAGTACTGGATACCAAAAGATGATTTTTTTTTTACTGGACACTACTTTATTTTTAATTCCTATCTGCAGTATAGCCTAAACGTAATTGTTAGAGTAGCGTACCATCAAAGGATCAACTCATTAATTAATTGTTACATGAAAATTAATTCTTATCAGTTTTCTAAGTATTTTATAGTAGAAACCCATGATATTTATAATAGAAAGCCCATGTCAATTTTAATTACATTTTGATTCTTAACTGAGAAATATTTCTCAAAAGTTCTTTATTAGTACGGTATGTGAAAAATAAGGTTAATAAAAAATCACTTGGTTTTGTGGAAAAATAACACTTTTATTATATTAAATTACAGTTTTTAACTTTATACATTGATTTATCTACTTTATTGTAACTAACTACCGGTTTTACACCTGTTTTGTAATAAACACTTTTGGAGGATAAACTACAAAAACTAAACTAAATAATTACATAAGAATACAGTTGAAAAATATATACCTATTATATTTAAACAAATTTTCATGTTGGATCAAATATTAATAAAAACAATAGCATTTGTCATTTAGCTATTAATTAGTGACTCTATCTAACAACAGGTCACAGATAGTAACCAGATAGTAGGGTTTAGACCAATCCCTTCGATTTTTTAGAAATTTCCCTCAATTAACCTACTGTAGTTTGCAAAACCAATAGCCACTTAATTTTCAGGTTAATTACTTTTCATAAGATTTTTGACTTGATATGATGTAACGTGTTGAGATATCTAATCATTAAATAAATGTAATCACTACACAAGATAAAGCACCAAAACACTTTGCTTTCTGTTTTCAGCAAACATACTCCTTGAAAATCTGAAAATATTACAACAGGTACATTTATTATCCCACAAGGTTTCTTTATTACATATTGCCAAGGAATTACTTTAGAAGTCCATAAGGTTGGGAATGGATGAAAATATTTATCCAAGCATAAGAAAACAATAAATTTACTGAAATAATCAGTCCACCTTCATATGTTTCTCACTTAAAAAGTACAAACACAATTTAAGGTAGATTTAAAACTTGAAAGGTAAGTTATAGTTCGGCCGCTTAGAAAACGACCTGCGCGCTAATGCTAAACCAATGCTGGAGGAGGTCGCTTTCTAAGTGGCCGAACTATAGTTACTTAGAGGTAAAAGTAAATTTCAAACTATGCCTAGTATGATTTCAACCATTCTACAGAATGCTTGACAATGAATGGACGTTTTGGATAGGTGATTTATTCCGTGGTGCAATAGCATGATTTAACATCACGATTTGATTTGTAATAAGCCAACTGATATAAATGGATTGAGACATTTGTTTTTACTACATTCCCCTAAATTACTACATTTTTCTCTGCCCTAAACACGGCAGAGAATAGTATGACCGTGTTCTGCATTACATTTAATGGAGCAATCAGAGCTCAATTTTAATAAAGGTGTGAATTATTAATGATAACAATGAAAATCTAAACCCGAAATAAATCTAATGGGAGGTAGAACTAAATCTATATTACTGGTTGGTTTATGGAGTATTCATTAAATAATACTACTAGGTACTGTCAATGACTATTGGATACTGAAGTTGTATTAATAGACAAAGGGTACAGTATGAGAAAAAGCTACTATAGTATAGCTATAACTATACAATGAAACATGGACAGTGTTTAGACAGAACAAACACTTGAAAATTTCCATTAATTAAGCTTATCTGTTTACTCGCTAAAAGAGGAAAACAATTTCAAGGTGTTTGATTAGTTTAAATATTAGTTTAAACTATAACACTACATACAGGAATAAAGTTTAATTTTTGGTAGCATTTCAACATTTAAATTTGTTTACAGACAAGTAAATACTTCTGAATAGGCAACCTATTGTGAGCTATAGCATCTTTTATGCCATTTTAAGAATCATAGTATGATACCTCGCCACAGCAAACCTGCAGAATGCAGACTAAGCGAATTTCCATTTACCTGGTTGGATTTTGCGCAATAATGTTCCCCTAAATTTTTTAGATTTATTTCCTTTATAAATAACATTGATTTTAATGAGTAACCTACTTAGGGTTGATGCTACAGGAAGGTAAACAGGTACGTGTTTTTTAGGACATGTTGATGGCTTGGTATTAAATAAACAAATTGGTAAAATTAAATAAAACTTTTGCCACAACCTATCAAATACAACCTATAAAACCTAACCTAACCAAACTTGCTGATTATGAAAAAATGTTATGAAGGTTTACTAATAGAATCGATATTTTTAATTGATATTAGGGTAGCCCGGTTAAGAAACTGTTCACGGTTTTTTTTATATCCTGCCCACTACACCCCTTCCACTAAAACCCCTGAATCACTCTTACGCTCTGGGGAGTCAAACGGCACTCGGGCCAACCTGACGGTTTTGACAGTTCATGACCCCACAGCAAAGAATAGGACGGCACTCGCTCTACATCCCAAATCCAGTATCCCGGTCATTTTTATTTACTTTATATGGCCATTCTTTTTCAGTTCTCCGATTTTTTCTGGCGAATAATTCAGCACTTGTGACAAAACATGGTCTGTATGCTCTCCCAGAAGAGGTGGAGGGGAGTGTATACAATTTGTGCTGTCAGAATATTCCACTGGTGGTCCTACAAGTTTCACAGTAGATCCATCTGCCAGCTTCACATCCTGGACTAGCTCTATGGCCTTCACGTGCTCATCTTCAAACACCTGGAAACATTAATCGTCTTGAAACTTTGAAGGAAACATGCTAACTCTTCAGAAGACTACATAGAAAATATGTTGATTTAAGTTTTAGAAGTTGTCTGAATAAATTTAAAAAGGCACATTTTTGTTGATTAAGAAACAAAACAACCACTCACCATCTTTATGAAAATAAGCCGGTGAATGTCAATGTTTAAGATTATAAGGACAATATGAGGAAACTATTGCATTACTTTCTCTACATTGACATTGTATTACAATAAGTCCATACAAAAGAGAAAGTTTATCCTTAACACTGACAAGA